AGGGCGGCTGCCGGGGGCCGAGACACGGCCACACGCTCCCGCTGCCTGTGTCCGGCCTTTAAATCCCACCCCCTCCAATGAGATGTCTGCATAAGGGCCTCCCCCGCCCCCGGGAGCTCAGGAGCATCAGCATGGCCCCAGATGACATTTCAATGCTTTTTAAAGCCAGTAATGCTTTGAGGGTGAATTCCCGACTGGACGTGAAAACATTCTTATTAACTAGTGTGTGCCTTTGTTTTACTACCCAGTATGCTGTTTATTCTTGTACCTTGTTATGTTAAATGTATCTTTTTAAAGGGATACTGCCAGAATTAAAGAGGCACCATTCACTGGAAACTAGGAATCTAACATTAATTGATTAACTGGTTAAACATGGTTAATGGGTTGACCAATTAAAGAGGGAACCAGGGGCCACTGCATCCCTATTAGGCATGGGTGCTTCCCATCTCCCCTCTCCTCCGGCCCCCCACTCGCCAGGGCAGAAAGCAGTGGCCTTGTCTGTGGCAGGTCCTGTGTGGCTTCAGCATGGAGAGCACTTCAGTCCCCACTGGTTAATCAGAACTGGTAAGCATCACCCATGAAAGGTGATGCTTACTGGTTAACCTTTAGGGATGTTAGCATGTAGTGGTTTATACAATTAGCTGATAAGCCTGAACTTATGAGTTAATTCAAACAACTAAATGCGTCCCCACACACACTCCTTGCTGCTTCTGATACTGACTCCCCGGCTACATCTAGACTGGCACGATTTTCCGCAAATGCTTTTAGCGGAAAAGTTCCAGTACTTGGGGGGAGCTGGCTTGAAAGCTGGCTCCCCAGGAGCACCACATCTGGCAAAACCGCCTGCCCCCCACTCCTGTGCTGGCAGCAGCATGGAAGGTGAAGAGTGCAGGAAGGAGCAGCAGTGCAGGAGGGCAAGTGGCTCCGCAGAGCCAGTGCTTGTGAGGAGTCAGGGCTTTTTTGTGGAAAACAAATCTGAGCTGTCTACACTGGCCCTTTTGCACAAAAGCTTTGCGCAAAAGGACTTTTGCCCGAACGGGAGCAGCATAGTTTTTCCACAAGAAGCACTGATTTCAGACAGTAGAAAGTCAGTGTTCTTGCGGAAATTCAAGCGGCCAGTGTAGACAGCTGGCAAGGTTTTCCGCAAACTTGCCAGTCCGACGCAGCCCCTATGTGTGCTGGTTCCTGTGGTGCTGCCTTCCCCGCCCCCTTCCCTCTGCCTCCCACAGAGAAGCCCCTATGTGTGCTGGTTCCTGTGGTGCTGCCTTCACCCCCTTCCTCTGCCTCCCACAGAGGCAGCAGCCAGGGGAGGCGGGGAGGGAGCAGGCAGGAGGAGCATGCAGGAGCCAGTACTTGGGGGGAGCTGGCTTGAAAGCTGGCTCCCCAGGAGCACCACATCTGGCAAAACCGCCTGCCCCCACCCCTGTGCTGGCAGCAGCATGAAAGGTGAAGAGTGCAGGAAGGAGCAGCAGTGCAGTAGGGCAAGTAGCTTCGCAGAGCTAGTGCTGGTGGGGAGTCTGCTTTTAAACCAGCTTTCTACATGCACTGGCTCCTACCTGCCTCCCTCACCATCTGTGCTGCTGCTTCTCTATCACAGGCAGCAGCAAGGCAGTGGAGTGTGGGAGAGGTGGCTCCGCAAGATCCAGTACTTGTGGGAAGCCAGCTTTTAGACCAGCGCTCCCTGAGGACTGACTCCTGATTGTCCCCCTGCGCTGATGCCTTTCGGGGTGGAGCAGTGGGGGCAGGCAGCTCCGCAGGAACCAGCACATGTGGGGAGCAGATTTAAAAGCTGGCTCCCTACGGGCACTGGCTCTCCTCCCTCCCTTCTCCCCTCCCCTGGCCTCTGATACAGAGGCAGCAAGGGGAGAGATGTCTGTGTAGTCATTTGGATTAACCAGTAAGCCCTAGCATATCGATTAAATATATAAATGACTATATGCTAATGTCTCTAGTAAACAGTGGTATCCCCCAGGGGTCTGCTCTGAGGCCTTTTCAGCATATTCCTAAATTAGCTGAATGATCTGGAAAAGGGTTAACAGCAAGGTGGCAAAATTTGCAGATGATACAAAACTACTTAAGATAATTAAGTCCCAGGCAGACTACAAATAGCTGTAAAAAGACAGCTCAAAACTGAGTGACTGGGAAACAAAATGGGAGATTAAATTCAATATTGATAAATGCAAAATAATACACATTGAAAAACATCCAACAATGCATGTAAAATGATGGAGTCTCTAAATTAGTTGTTAACTCCAAGATCTCTTTCTTGAGTGCTATTGTGGACAGTTCTTTGAAAACAACCACTCAGAGTACAGTGGCAGTCAAAAAAGCAAACAATATTGGCAATCACTTAGAAGGGGATAGATAATAAGACAGAAAATACCATATTGCTTCTCTGTAAAACTATGGTACAACCAAATCTTGAATACTGTGTGCAGTATTGATCCCTCCATCTCAAAAACTGTATATGGGAATTGTAAAAGTTTCCAAAAGGAGCAACAAAATGATTATGGGTATGGAATGGCTTCCATATGAGGAGAGATTAATAAGACTTTTACTTGGAAAAGAGATGTCTGAGAGAGAGAAATTATTGAAATCTATATAGCCATGACTGGCATGGAGAACGTAAATAAAAAAGTGCTATTTAATCCTCATAACACAAGAACTAGGGTGTCACTAAATGAAAATAAGTAGCAGATTTAAAACAAAGCAAAAGAACTATTTCTTCACACAATATACAGTCAACCTGTGGAACTCTTTGCCAGAGGATGTTGCGAAGTCCAAAACTATAACAAGGTCAAAAAAAGAACTAGATAATTCATGGAGGTTACGTCCATCGATGGCTATTAGACAGGATGGGTAGGAATGGTGTCCTTGTTCTCTGACTGTCAGAGGCTGGAAATGGGTGACAGGAGAGATATGACATGGTGATTATCTGTTCTGTTCATTCCCTCTGGGGACACCTAGCATTGGCCACTGTCAGGAGACCATTATACTGGGCTAGATGGAGCTTTGGTCTGACCCGTTATTGCTGTTCTTAGGAACAGTGTATTATCCATGTTACATTGTTACAATAACTACACCACTGGATTATCCAGCAACAATAGAGTCATCATGCCACCACTGTAAGGGTTATGCAGAGAACATGGTGAGATGAGGTATAAAAACATGCACATGTGGGACAAAGCCTTGATTTCCCAGTCTCCAGTCACAGGAGTATGTGGACACAGGAGTATATGAGAAATTGTTCATGTAAAAGAATATTATTTTAAGCTTACTAGGTATTATGCTTCCTGGCAACTTGTACCGAGTCAGTTTATGCTTGTCACATAGATTTCTGGAATCTCAGTAAATGCCAAAATAGAGATTCAAGTGCAGATGGCAAGTACAATTGAGAGATGAGTGGGAAAAAAATCCGTTTTTCATTTAAAAGAATCTCAGTTGCTTTCCTGTTGACTAATAACTTCTGTTTGGTTTGCATGTGAGATATGAAGTGCCAGCCTAGAACTGTTAAATAACCTAAAGATGCTTTTGAGATGCAAGGGGACATTGAGGCAGCTGAGGCATTACAAATAAATCAGCACTCTTTCGTGGAAAAAACTGACTTTTTTGTTAACCCTTTTATTTCCAGCATGGATGATCTCTTCATGTATGACTGCATCACTGCAGGCAAGAAGTCTCAAGAAGACAGAGGGTGAGAGATTTTGTATAAACTCTTTACTACTTTTTCGGAGGGTGCATTCCTTCCTCTGATTATATGGTGTCAAATAGAATAAAGTGAATAGATTACTAATGCCTAATAATGTGAGATGAGTGTCTGAATTTCTAGTTGTGATGTGTTTTTCTACATTGTGTGTGAGGTGTGATGAATGAAAAGACACCTGCGGAGCAGGGGCCAAGCTAGTGACTTCGTACTCTGGCTTCCCTGGAATAAAGAGCTGCAGCAGAGGGGGGGAAGTGACTAGTCGATAGTGTTTATCGATAAGCTCCTGCTTATTGGTTAGTTGACTATTTGATTAGACACTAACATCCTTACTGCCAGCACAGATCTCAACACACATGTAAGCAGCTATTGATGCAGGAGTGGGCCCATAGCCTGTTTCCTCTCCTTGATCATTGATTTCAGTCTCTCCCACAGTAACAGGAGAGAAATTTTCAAAATAGGAAAAAAAGATTGTAAAGCTACAAAAACTTAGGTATTTAAGTGCAGGTATAGTATTTGAAAGTCATGTTTTGAAATTGAATTTCTAATTGAAAATACCCTTCTAAATATTCAAAAGAAAATAATTAAAACAATTAGTTGAATTTAAATCTAACTTTCTAGATTTAATTTAGGTAGAAATTTCTCTTAAATGGAAAAGAATGCCTCACCTCAAATTTAGATACATTAATTAAATCCTTATATTTAATGATTGAATACAGTTAAAAACATTGAATCACTTTTCAGATGTCCATTGATTTCGGCAGGAGGATCCAGAAGGGATGTCAGGATGTGCCTTAGTGGATCTAGATGCAAGATTTGGCCTGCTGCTACCTATAATTCATTTGTGTTGTCATTAACTTTAACGGACTTTGGATAAGTTTGTTTTGGGTTTGAAATGCACTATTGCTCAGAAACCAAATCTTCACTATCCTTTTTTTCCCTGAATTAATATTTATGTTAAGCTAATAAATTTCACGAGCAGAGATGAAAGCCGAAAGGAAGTTTCTGCTCCGATACAGTCCCTAGCGAGACCCAAGCAATAAGTGAGAGTGGCAGCATGGAACATAAGAACCATGTACGAGACTGGGAAAACAGCACAGGTGGTGAGAGAAATGTCCAGGTACAAGATCAATATTCTGGGCATTAGTGAAATGAGATGGATTGGCTCAGGGATGCTAACATTTGGTTCAGGGGAGACTGTTACTTTGGAAGGTCAGATGGACAGCATCAAGAAGGGGTTGGCATCATCATGGATATTCAGGCTAAGAAAGCCTTCTGGGATGGGAACCAGTCAACTCTCGTATCATCAGAGCAAGATTCTTTTCCAGCTACACCAAAACCACCATTATTCAATGCTATGCACTCACCGAACAAGCTACAGAGGAGGAGAAGGACTTATTCTATAGCAACCTGCAAGAGCAGATAGACAAGACATCTCTCCATGACATTTTGATCATAATGGGGGATCTGAATGCAAAAGTCGGGTCGGATAATGAAGGCTATGAATCCTGCATGGGCCCAGAGGGTGTCGGCGAAAGAAATTATAATGGACAGCGTTTTGTAGATTTGGGCCTGGAGAATGGTCTGGTGATAGGGGGCACTGTCTTTCAACATAAGACAATACATAAGTTGACCTGGATATCTCCAGATAGAAGGACTTGTAACCAATTGATCACATTGCTATCATCCAGAAGTGGAGAAGATCCATGAGAGATGTCCGAGCGCTGAGAGGAGCAGATGCCAACAGCGATCATCATCATCTTCTTTGCAAGCTGCAGCTCAAGCTGAAAAGGACAGACAGAAAGACTGGTGGCCAGCTCTTTGACTTCAGTAGACTAAAACATCCAACAGTGAAGATCTAGTTTACTCTAGAGCTGTCCAACAGATTCAGCCTGCTCAAAGACCTGATAGCAGATGATATTAATATCCACTGTGAGGAGATCCAGAAGGTATACCTGGAAACCAGCAAGATTGTACTGGGGTACAAGAAGAAACAGAGAAAGGGAGTGGATTTCAGATGCTACATGGCAGCTCATTGAGAACAGAAAGGCGGTTAAACAGCGCACACTTGCAGGCCGTGACGAAGATAAAATAACAGCTGTACAGGTCTACAGGGACCTAAACATTGCCGTGAAGAGAAGTGTATGAAGAGATAAGAGAGTGTATGTGGACAATATTGCCACAGAGGCCCAGTCAGCAGTAGACAGAGATGATACTAGGGCAGTGTACAAGATCACCAAGACTCTTACAGGAGATTTTACCAACAAGTCTACTGTAGTAAGAGACAAGAACGGGAAAATGCTGGTGAAAGCAAAAGAACAGCTCAGCAGGTGACGGAACACTTCAGAGAGACTCTCAACAGACCAGACCCAGAGGAAGAGGCTGACATAAGAAGTATGAACCTCCAGGTAGACATGGAATGTGGGGACATCAGTGAGCTGGAGATAGCAGATGCTATCAAGCAGATGAAGGGCAACAGAGCGCCCGGGGAAGACCAGATCACTGCTGAAATGCTTAAGGTAGACCCCAAGGCAAGCACACAAGCTCTGAAGGGTCTCTTCAACAGGCTCTGGGAAGAAGAGAGGGTTCCGGAAGCCTGGAAGAGGGGCATCACTGTGAAGTTACCCAAAGAAGTCGATCTGTCCATCTGCGGGAATTGGAGAGGCATTAATCTGCTGTCTGTGCCGGGAAAGATTTTCTGTAGAGTCCTGCTACAGAGAATGCGAAAGGGCATTGAGAAAATCCTCAGGGAAGAACAGGCTGGCTTCAGAAGTGGAAGGTTGTGCACGGACCAGATCTTCGTCCTATGCACCATAGTGGAGTAGTCAATAGAGTGGAACTCTTCGCTCTACATTAACTTCGTCGATTTTGAGAAGGCGTTTGATAGCATCCACCACCCCTCACTTTGGAGGATTCTACAAGCATACGGGTTCCCTGAGACGGTCATTAACATCCTGAAGGATCTGTACACTGAGAATCAATGCTGTGTGCGACATGAAGGACAGCAGAGTGACTAGTTTCACGTGAAGACAGGGGTCAGACAGGGCTGTGTAATCTTACCTGTTATCTTCCTTGTGGTCATCGACTAGGTGATGCACAGAGCCACTGAGGGCAGATCAAGGGGAGTGCTATGGGGACCGACTGCTCGGCCTGAGGACTGTGACTTCGCAGATGACCTGGCGCTTCTCGCGCATGATCAGCAGGACATCCAAGAAAGACCGACATTGTTGACTGGACAGCCAGAAGCATTGGGCTCAGAATTCACCCTGGCAAGTTCAAAGTGATGAAACCGAGGACAACTAACACTGATAAAACCACTGTCATGGGTGAAGAGTTAGAGGAAGTAAATGACTTCAGGTATCTCAGCAGTTACCTCTCGGCGGACAGCAACATCGACAAAGAGATCTCCGCTAGAATTGCCCTGGCAGCGCAAGCCTTCCAAAAGCTTAACAACATTTGGAAATCGTCACTGTTGCAGACTAGGACTAAACTGAAGATCTGTAGGTCGAATGTGCGCTCAGTCCTGCTGTATGCCGTAGAAACTTGGAGGACTAACAAGAAGATTGAGAGCAGACTCAGAGGCTTTGAAGGACGGTGCCTTCGTCGTAGCCTTAGAGTCCGCTGGGAACAGCATGTTCCCAACAAGGAGATAAGCCAACGCACTGGCATCAACAATGTTGTGGGTGAGATCAAGCAGAGACACTGGAGATGGCTGGGGCATGTCCTTTGGATGAGCGAAACAAGACTCCCTCATATGGCACTCAGATGGACTCCACCTGGAAAGCGTAAAAGAGGGAGGCCGTTGGGTACCTGGAGGAGGACATGAAAAGGAAGGGCACAACCTGGAAAGAAGTCAGCCAGTTTCTCAAGATTGTGAAGGCTGGAGAAGATTCGTTGGCGCCTTATGCTCCATTAGGAGCGAAGAGGACTAATAATAATAATAAATACATTTCACCAATAAAACATGTTTGTACCGCTTGCTGTTGGCATTTTAATTATAAGTTTCTCTTCTGAGGGATTTAAGTAAATAAGCTTAAAGCTGTCTGCTCATGAATAAACTGTTTTTTCCTTTTTGTATTTTAGACAGGATGGACAGCCAGCAATTAAAACAAGTGATGATATTCTCACTTTTGCCTTCTCCTCATCGGGAGACTATTTTGCTGTGACTGACGACAACAAACGTCTGATTCTTTTTCGTACTAAGCCTTGTTGGGAATGCCTTAGTGTCAGGTAAGGAGGCAGGATACTGAATCTCAGTGTATTATAAATTAGAATGACTGCTGATATTTACTGTACTAAAGTGGGAGGATTTGGGACTCAGCTGTACGTGACTATTGGCTTCTGTATCTTTCCTCTAACTTGCTTGAGTGAATTTAATGTTAGTGAAAGTGAGGGGCCAGTGTTAAGAGGTTAACCTAGAAAATATGTTTGTACTCTACAAGCTTCTCTCAAAAAGGTTTCAGTTTTTCTCCATTTGACTTGCAGCCTTTTTTTTTTTTCCCCTGCAATAGCCCATTAAAATGTGTATAACACACTATCATTGGAAAGACAATTTTTTTGGACAAAGGTATAAGGAAAAAAATCCCTTGTTACAAAAAGTATCTTTTGGATATTTATAAGTAGCACCTCTCTCGTCTGTGTGAACACTAACTCTTGAAGAACCACAAGCTCATTAAAGTGAGCACTACTCCAGCTCCCAACATAATCCAAGATAGGTTTGTGGAGGAAAGGATTTTAGAGCAGCCTCTGTAATCTCTCTAAAGTCTGTCCTTATGTGCAAGTTATGCATAACTTGCCTTCCTTTGTTTGCCCCCCTCCTTTTGAAAGAAGTACAATCTCTTGCTATCCACTAGAGGTCCTCCTCTAATAAATCCTTTGCTGGTTGTTACAGTTTTCCGTATGAAGACACCTAAGACTTTTGAAAAGCAAAGTCATTGCAAAAGACATTTCCACTTACATTGATCTATGAAGATTCTTGTTCCATCTACAAAGCTGTATTATACTGTATTATTGGATTCCCCCCTCAATTCTACCATGGTGTAGGCGATGGACATTTAATATCTTGCTAAGTGTCATCTAAGAAATCTGTAGCAGATCTAAAAATAGAAAAGAACTCCCATTGTATTGCTTTTATTCAAGGACATCCTTGTTTTCTTGTAGTTAGGGTTGTACTCAGCCTAATAAATGAAATGAACATCAGGTTTGGTTGCAAGCTATCTTAAAATGGCATTGAAGTTGTTTCAAATACTACATCTGCCCGTTAGTCCCTCTTGAGCCCAAACTTCTTGCCATCTGATAACCACATTTTCTCATTTTAAAATGTGTTCCCTCTTGCTGTGTTGGACACCTATACAAAGAAAAGGAGAAATGGAATAATTTCATGAAGTCAGATATGTTAGTTAACAAACAGTGCTCTAATTTTTCTTGGTCAGTGGTATAAAAAGCAAATTAAAAAATGAAATAAGAATAAGTTGACGGGCTTCTGTATAGGGATGTAAAAGAGTAGTCGATTAGTTGAGTACCTGATAAGCCTAGGCTTATCAGGTAGTCGAGGCAATTACTAACATTTCTCCCCACCCTCTCTTTGCTGCCTCTATCTCAGAGTGGGGGGCAGGCGAGGTTGCTCTGGCCTCCCCCCCTTCCCCCCTCCGTTTCTCACTTGGTCCCCAATGGATTTTGGGACCCCTGGTCCAAAAAAGTTTCCCTGCTGCGGCTCTGCAGTTTAAGTGTAGTAGGAGCCGGGCTACCTGCACACCTGGCTCTTACTATGTTTAATCTGCAGAGCCACAATAGAGAGAGCTCCTTCTGAGCGCCTTCCCTTATCGACTAATCAATAGTAGATATAAATTGTATCAACTACAGCAGAGCATTCCAATGGATGTAAAAGAGTAGTCGATTAGTTGAGTACCTGATAAGCCTAGGCTTATCAGGTAGTCGAGGCAATTACTAACATTTCTCCCCACCCTCTCTTTGCTGCCTCTATCTCAGAGTGGGGGGCAGGCGAGGTTGCTCTGGCCTCCCCCCCTTCCCCCCTCCGTTTCTCACTTGGTCCCCAATGGATTTTGGGACCCCTGGTCCAAAAAAGTTTCCCCACCTCTAGACTGCACGATTACCCAATTACCCACCTCTTAACATCCTTGCTCCTGCATCAGTTTTTCACTGTGGGAAAACCATGGTTACGGATATGTATACTGCAATTAAAAACCCTGTGCCAGCTAATTCAGACTCATAGGGCTTGGCTAAGGGTCTGCTAAACTGTGGTATAAACATTTGGTCTCCAGCTGCAGCCTTCCGCTCTGAGACCCTGCCACTTAACAGGGTCTTAGAACCCGGGCTCCAGCCTGAGCCTGAACCTCTACACTGCTATGAAATAGCTCCTCAGCCTGAGCTATATGAGCCCACCACATAGGCCAGCCAGGGGTATTTAGCTGAAGAGCAGGCAAACCTTCAGAATGTTACTGGCACAATTTGTTTAAATTACATTTTTTTCATTAATTTTAATTAATTTAATTTAATACTATAGAGCCTATTTGTATTTTGTTATTGTTTTGGAGTTTCTGATTTAGTTCTGGTGAGAGCGATAACCAGTCTACGGAAATATTACTGATGTTTTATGCAGTTAGACTCCAAGTCTAGGCTAACTTTAGCTGTAAGTATTAAGTGTGTAAGCAACTAGTGGCTTCCCCACCCTTGCTGTCTCTATTAGCGGCAGTAAGGGGCAGGGGAGCAGAAGCTGGTGCTGGGGAGAGCCACCTTAAAAGCCAGTTCCCCCAGCATTGTCTCCGCAGGGAGTAGTGAGGACTGGGCATGAGCTGAGAATCAGCTCGCATCCAAACCCGGGATGCTGCATCTCTGCTTTTTAAATGTATAAAGAGCTGGCTGGCTCTTAATACATTTAAATGGCTGGTGCTCAGCGGGGTGACTTAGCGTGAGCCGAGAATCAGCTGTCCCAGGGGGAATTGGGTTCCCCCTGCTGGCTCTTAATACATTTAAAAGGCAGAGTCACAGTGGGGTTAGCCCTCGCTTATCGACTAGTCAGTGGAAAGTCCATCGACTAGTTGATTAAAGTAAATTTAACATCCCTAGTGAGTATCATGAATTTTACCTCTGTTTCCTCATACATCCACTTCTTACTGCCTCAAATGAATGGCATAGTCCTCTGTCCTGTTTTTTGTGTTCTATAACTCTGAGGCATACAGGATAGTTCCTAGATTTTCAGTTTTCTGCTAGACTGTCAGCCTGGAACTCAGGTGGATTTTGCCAGGAATTCTATAACATCACTTTGTTTGGTTAGGAAACTGGTTTTGTTTTATTTAGGATTAGGGTTGCATCCCTGACCATCTTGGCTACAGGTTGATTGTGTGAAGGAGTACTTCTTTTTTGTTTTAAACCTGCTGCCTGTTAATGTCACTGGATGATCCCTGATTCTTGTGTTGAGTTGCAGGGTAAATATTATTTCCTTATTCACTTTCTCCATACCATTCATAGTTTTATAGATATTTATCATATCCCCCCTTTGTTTTTTTCTGCAGACTGAATAGTTGCAGTCTTGTTAAGCTCTCCTCATTTGGAAGCTGTTCCAAACCCTTCATCATTTTTGTTGCCCTTCTCTGTACCTTTTCTGTTTCTAATGTGTCTTTTTGAGCTGAGGTGACTAGAACAGCAGGCAGTATTCAAGGTGTGGGTGTACCATGGATTTATATATGGCATTTTGAGAGTTGCTGTCTTGTTATCTGTTTCCTATTCGTTCCTAAGATGGTTAGCTTTTTTGACTTCCACTGCACAGTGAGTGGATGTTTTCAGAGAACCATTCAAGATGGCTCCAAGATCTTTCTTGAGTGGTAACAGATCATTTAGACCCATTATTGTATACGTGTAGTTATGTATATTAGAAAATAATCCTTACTTTGCACTTATCGGTATTGAATTTCATTTACTGTTTTGTTGCCCAGTCACCCAGTTTTGGGAGATCCCTCTTATGACTCAAGAGGAAAAGATACCTGCTCCAAACAGGGACTGAATGGCTGTGTCAGAATCTCTGAATATCTCTAATTGTGACCCTTTTTTTTTCTTTCAGGTCTGTTGTTAGAAGATGCACATCTCTGATTATTACATCTACAGAGGATAAGATTCTGGTTGCAGACAAGTCTGGTGATGTTTATTCTTATTCAATAACAGAACCACAAAAGGCAGGAAAGGTTGAGCTTGGGCACCTGTCCTTACTTTTGGATGTGGTATGTATGTATGTTAACCAAGCTTTCCCACAAACTTTTTTTCCTCTTAAAGAAATGTTAGTGTTATGTTGTTCTTACACCAAGTTCTTATGACTTAAAAAAAGAACCCCTCTAGTTTTTTCCATATAAGCTAGACTGATTAATAGCCTCTTTTCCTTTGAGTTCTTATCTGAACATAAATGCAAGAAACAAGGAGAACAATTTGCAGAGGGGATGCAGTGAGAAGATCTGTTGTTACTGTAACTTTTAAGAGCTGCTGTTTTTATTATGGAACCATGGAACTCATTTATGAGGTTGTTCAGTCTGGCTTGTCAATATGGCACTGCATTATTTTAGTGCTTAGTCCACTTTTAAATGCAATGAGGCCTGCCATTGTGCTCCTTCTGGAGGTTATTGGGTTTGATAAACTCAACAATATTCTTGTCTTCTGATGATGCTTCTTTACTTGTTATGAAAAAGTCGTAGGGCTTTCATTCTAAATGCAAATCATGGCTTACTTGCCTTACTGCTAACACGGCACACTCAAAATCATGAAACTAGCATATTTGGATTTACTGCCTAATCATTAGTTAGAAAGCAACTCATCAAAAATACTGTCTGTACTGTGTGCTTATTTTGTGCCAACAGGCGCTCAGTCCTGATGACCAGTATATCCTAACTGCAGACAGAGATGAGAAGATTCGAGTCAGTTTGACTAGAGCACCGCATAGCATCGTATCTTTCTGTCTTGGGCACAGAGAGTAAGTTTGTGGAGTTGTCCACTGTATTTAAAGGCTGGCGAGAGAGAGAGAGTAGTTCCTACATGTGAAGCAAGAACTGGATTGTGGGTTAAAAGAACTCCCCAGGCCTGGTGTTTTAGCACAGGGTACAACTATGACTTAGTTTGTGGCAAGAAACATCTTTGTGTTCCATGTTTGTGCATTACCTAGCACAGTCAGATCTATGACTAGGCCTCCTAAGGAGCAATGCGTCATCTATATATTTTAGAAACTTTATCTGTTTGTGTGTCCATTAGGGATGTTAAAATGCATTTAATTATGTAATTGTGTAACTCTGAAATTTCAGTTGTTACATGCCGGTGGCTTCACGGGCTACTTAAAAGCAGGATCCATGTTTGTGCATTACCTAGCACAGTCAGATCTATGACTAGGCCTCCTAAGGAGCAATGCGTCATCTATATATTTTAGAAACTTTATCTGTTTGTGTGTCCATTAGGGATGTTAAAATGCATTTAATTATGTAATTGTGTAACTCTGAAATTTCAGTTGTTACATGCCGGTGGCTTCACGGGCTACTTAAAAGCAGGATCCCTGTGTGCATTGGCTCCTGCTAGCGCCCCCCCCCTCCCCCCCCCCGCTCCCCGCGCTCTTGCCTCTGATACAGAGGTAGCAGCATTGGGGGGAGGTGGAGGGAGAGAAAGGGTTTCATGTAACAGTACAAGTTAACTGATGATTTCAGGCTCATCAGTTAATCATGTAAATGGCTACACTTTCACATCCGTAGTGTCTATCCATTTATTCAAGAGCTCCTTCTGATCAGTAAGAACTAGGACCACCAGATTTGGTAGGCAGCTTCCTCTTATCATAACTTAAAGCAAAGTCAGGGTTTGGTTGTGCAAGGACAATGGGATGTGCCTGGAATTCGACTGTTTCTCATAAAATGGAAAGGGAGGGGTCAGGTAGGAGGGGCAGAATGACTGGGGGGGAGGGGGCAGAGATGGGGACTGGGCAGCCATAACCCCATTGGGCCAGCAGGGGGCAGGGGCTGAGAAAGGGACAGCTATCTATAAACTCCTATAGTTCAGCATCCAATTGTCTGGCACTCCTGATAGTCCGGCATCAAAATGGCAAGAGCCTAGTGCAGGGGTGGCCAACCCGAGGCTCCTGACAGAAAATAATTGCGGCTCCTGATGGAACTGGGATGGAACCTGGAACCGCTCAGGTCAGCCGCTGTCATGGCCGGGCCACTGTGAGCCGCAATGCACGCTCCCGGCCTGCGCTGTTCCGTTCACAGCCCCCAGCTCACTGCGGCGTA